CCAAGCTTAGAGACGACGTCACTGCAAAGAATCTCTTTGAACATTTCACCTCTGTTCATAATTTTACCTTTACCTTTCCAACCAGTGATTCTTCTGTCTGTGTGTACACCCGAGGGCAGTGTGAATATTCAGAGCAGTGCTTCTATGTGTCTCTGCAGGGTCTGCCTGGTTTAGACAAGTCCGGTTCAGGGCCCAACACACCCAGAGGAATCCTGGCCACTCACGGCCCCATGAGCCCCGAGAGCTTCAAACTGATGCACCGACACAGGTCAGCAACACACATAGACTTTTTAAATTTCCTGTTAGACTCTCCTGCTTTAATCTTATTCAGCTACACTCCTCAGTCTGCACCATGTCATCAAAACCTCATTCAGGGTATCTAAACATGTTGAAAAGGTTTTAAAAAATCCTCACAGTCAGTTTCCTCTAAGTCTGCATGGAGGGTCGGGTCAAAGGGGCACGGATCAAGAGAGACAAAGCAGCCGCCACCCTTCCCTCTAAAGCTGTCACTGCCCTTCTAAATACAGGAAAGAAAGGATATCAAATCATATTCACCGAGTTTAGCTCCACTCCTTGGATTGGGTCTGCGGCCCAACCAGGCAAAGAGGAGCCTCACTGGAATAACAGATCACCGACGGGTGGTTTGGGAGCGCTTCATGTGTCCATAAAGAGGCGTGTGAGGTCTGGGCATCACTCCAGGTTCTGTCCTGGTCGTCTCCTCATCTTCTGCTGTGCTTCGTTGCATTTGATAGTTGGAAGTGTTACTGTAAACATATAAAGCAGAAAAGAAATCACTAATAATCCTCGTTAATTACTTTCATCTTATTCTTAAAGGAAACTGTTAAATTAAATGTGGTGAACGTGGCAGAAACCATCCTTCACAGTCAGCACACTTCTTCTCACTGGCTTCACCTCCATCTGTTGATCACCTGCTGTGTCTCATTAATGATCTTTGAGTTCCTCGCAGCATCTCTGCTGTCCTCTGCTCACATCGCACTTTCTGAAAATCTGCCATTTTCTCTTTCTCTCCGTCGTCCTTCACCGACACCACCCTGATCGTGCTTCCTGCATGCTCATGGCTGACCATCGCTCTCATTCTCACCGCATCACCTCATGCATGCCGGCTGTTTGGCTTTTGCTTCTTTTTTGGTTTGCTCGGCCCTTCCCCTTCCTGCCTTCCTTCCTTCCTTTTCTTCTACCTGGAATTTCCCTCTTCTCCCCCCGCCCTCCTTCTCTTTACCCTCCCTGTTTCCTCTCCTCTTTTTTCCTCCTTTCGTTCCCTCCTCCCAGTCCCATAGCTGTTCTGACTCCTGTGCGCAACTCCTCCTCCTCTCTCTCCTCTCACAACTCCAGCGAGATGGGAAACGTTGGCAATCTGCTGATCCTGGCTGACGGCATGGTAGTGGAACACCCCGAGGACTTCTACCGCATGCAGGTCAGTGAAAAACGTGATTCGCAGAGAGGAAACGCAGGAAAACCCTCCATATATCACATATGAATATAAAACACTGTAATATTATCACGTCCAGCTTTTTGTGCACAGCTGAGCATCGCTGCTCGAATACCTCACATTATTGTAATCTATATGTACAATACTGCAGGCGAGCCTGTCCTCCTCCAGTCTTAGCTCCACCCACTCTGCGCCTTCTCAGATGATAAACTCCGCCCCCTCAACCATCAGAGGTGAGCATGGAAGATTTTTAAAACTATATTTAGCTGATATTTTGTATTCTTTCACACATTTCTCACTCCTGTAATCTGTCTGCAGTCGGCTCGCCGTCTCTGCCTGACAAATACAGACACAACAGAGAGATGCTGATGCTGCTGCCGCCGCACAGAGAGAGGCCGAGCAGCGCGATGTACACCAACATCACAGACAATGGACAGGTAACTGAACGACAGCAGTGACAGTTGTCTGACGAATCTGATTTATTAGAAGTTGCAGGTACGTCACATGCAGAGGGTAAAGTGGGTGCACAAAGATTATTTTTCTTTGTGCTGCACTGTGATCAGCTGACCTGTGATGCTGCAGGTGCTTTTCATGGATTCAACCTACCTTCAGATATTCTTCTAAATATTTTCGAATGCAATCATGTTCAGTTCTTTACTGAGCTGAAGACGGATTAACGTCTGATTCAGGTGATCGCTGTGGTCCTCTCTAACGAGCTCATGGTCTCCTCCTCAGCCACCAAACTTCCAGCGGGCTTTGTTCCACCAGGTGATCGGTCCATGCAAACCCTGCAGCGACCCAAACCTCTCTGTGGCTGAGAAAGGTCGGCACACACACACACACACAATATAGAATATTTCTGTAAAACTCATCTATTAATCTTCTCCACTCCACTCGTCTCCACCCTGCAGTCCTGACCACTCCCAGTAGTTGGAGTTTGGACAGCGGTACCAGAGAAGCCCTCCCTTTCCTTTCCTCCCATGTTGGCAGCGTCATGGCACCACCTGTTCCACCACGCAACCTGCCTCAAGGTACGAAACTACTGTGTGTG